CCACAGAAAAACCCACCATCCTCACGGAAAAACCCACCATCTCCCCAGAAAAACCCACCACCCCCACGGAAAAACCCACCATTCCCACGGAAAAGCCCACCATCCCCACGGAGAAACCCACCATCCCCACGGAAAAAACCACCATCTCCCCAGAAAAACCCACCATCCCCACAGAGAAGCTCACAGCCCTGAGGCCACCCCATCCCAGTCCCACAGCCACTGGGCTGGCAGCCTTGGTGATGTCTCCACATGCTCCAAGTGCCGCTATGACCAGTGTGATCCTGAGCACTAACACAACCCCCAGACCCAATACAGGTATGAGGTGGATGGAGCGTGGGCCAAGGCTGAATGTGAGAGAGAGTGACTAGGAGAGAGTCAGGGAAAGGGATGCTTCTGGTAGAAAGCTTCTAGTTGCTTCTAGATGCTTCTAGTGCTCTCAGGGCAGAGCTGAAGCAGTCCATGGTGACTTCAGAGGAAATGGGGAGGACTGCCCAGAGTGAGAGGGATGGCAGGGCTGGAGTGGGTGGGGGTGTCAGGACCCAGCCACGAGGCTTCCTTCTCCCTGTTTGTTATTGAGATATAATCCATATTTCATAAAATTCACCCTTTTAAAGTGTACAATTCTAGGCCGGGCATGGTGGCTCACACCTATAATCCCAGCACTTTGGGGGCCCAAGGCAGGAGAGTTGCTTGAGCACAGGAGTTCGAGACCAGCCTAGGCAACATACATAGCAAGAGCCTGTCTCCACTTTAAAATGGAAAAAAAATAAAAATAAAAAAATTAGCTGGGTGTGGTGGTGCACACCTGTAGTCCCAGCTACTTGGGAGGCTGAGGTGGGAGGATCGCTTGAGCCTGGGAGGTTGAGGCTGTAGCAAGCCATGACTGGGTCACTGTACTTTAGCCTGGGCAACAGAACGAGACCCCATCTTAAAAAAAAAAAAAAAAAGCAAAAGCAATTCTATGGTTTCTAGTGTATTCCCAAGGTTGTGCAACCATTATCACTTTCTAATCCAGACATTTTCATCACTCCAAAAAGAAACCCTGTACCTATTAGCAGTCCTCACTCCACCTTCCCCCAGCCCCTGGCAACCACAAATTTCTTTCCTTTATCCATGGATTTGCCAGTTCTGGACAGTTCATACAAATGGAATCATGCAATATGTGAACCTTTATGTTTAGCTTCTTTCACTGAGTGTAATGTTTTCCGGGCCATCCATACTGTAGCATGCATCAGGACTTCATTCCTTTAAAAAAAGTATTTCTTATTGTTTATATTTTTGAGACAGGGTCTCGCTCTGTCACGCAGGCTGGAGTGCAGTGGCGTGATCTCGGCTCACTGCAACCTCCGCCTCTGGGGCTCAAGCAACTATCCTGTTTCAGTCTCCTGAGTAGCTGGGGCCACAGGCCTGCACCACCAGGACCAGCTAATTTTTGTATTTTTAGTAGAAATGGGGTTTCACCATGGTGGCCAGGCTGGTCTTGACCTCCCAAAGTCCTGGGATTACAGGAGTGTAATCCTGTAATTACACTTCAGTCTCGGCCTCCCAAAGTCTTGGGATTATAGGGGTGAGCCACTGTGTCCGGCTCTAGGGTTTCACCCTGTTGGCCAGGCTGTTCTTGAACTCCTGGCCTCAAGTGATTCGCCTGCCTCGGCTTCCCAAAGTGCCGGGATTACAGGTGTGAGCCACCACGCCCAGCCTAAAATTGTTTTATTTTTAAATTTGTTTTGTAGGGATGGGTCTCACTATGTTGCACAGGCTGGTCTCAAACTCCTGGCCTCAAACAATCCTCCCACCTCAGCCTCCCAAAGTGCTGGGATTATAGGTGTGAGCCACCACACCCAGCCTTCAGGCCTTTTTATGGCTGAATAATACGGTCCTGTTTCCTAGAGAAGAACTTGAGTTTGGGGGTAGAGGAGAGACAGGGAGACTCCCTGAGAAAGCTGTGGAATGAAAGCATGACAGAGGCTGTTTTCTCCTTAGAGCGCTGCCCCCCAAATGCACACTACGAATCCTGTGCTTGTCCTGCTTCGTGCAAGAGTCCCAGGCCTAGCTGTGGGCCGCTCTGTCGGGGGGGCTGTGTCTGCAACCTTGGCTTTTTGTTTAGTGACAACCACTGCATCCAGGCCTCTTCCTGCAATTGCTTCTACAACAACAACTACTATGAGGTAAGCCCCTCGGGATGCTCTGGTCCCATGAGGGAGATTGATGGCAGAACACCTGGGTTCCAGCTCCATCTGCTAGCCAGGTGAAGGAACGGGGATCACCGGATAGTCCCAAGGGGTCAGCTCAGAAGCAATGGTTACACGACAGCGAAGTTTTTCATTCATTTCTTTTTTTTTGAGACAGGGTCTCGCTCTGTCGCTCAGGCTGGAGTACAGTGGCATGATAGTGGCTCACTGCATTTCCTGGGCTCCAGTGATCCTCCCACCTCAGCCTCCCAAGTAGCTGGGACTACAGGCACATGCCACCGTGCCCAGCTAATTTTTGTATTTTTGGTAGAGACAGGGTTTCACTACGTTGCCCAGGCTGGTCTTGAAATCCTGAGTTCAAGCAATCTTCCTGCCTCAGCCTCCCAAAGTGCTGGGATTGTAGGCATAAGCCACTGTGTCTGGCTTGCCACATTTAGTTTTTTCTTTTTTGAGACAAAATCTCGCTCTGTCACCCAGGCTGGAGTGCAGTGGCTCGATCTCAGCTCACTACAACCTCCACCTCCTGGGTTCAAGCAATTCTCTGCCTCAGCCTCCCAAGTAACTGGGATAACAGGCTCACACCACCATGCCCGGCTAATTTTTGTTATTTTTAGTAGAGATGGGGTTTCACCGTACATTCTTTACCTCTTTAAATCTTTTATCCGTATTTATAAAGTGTACACAATAAGATTTTCTACCTCATATAAGATTGTTGCAAAGACGAAATTAAGTCCTAACACATACAATTACTTAATAAGTGTTAATTATTATCGTTAGCAATTTATGATAAATATATGCAACCTATTAATTAAAAGTGCATTAAAGGGCCCGGCACGGTGACTCACACCTGTAATCCCAATACTTTAGGAGGCCGAAGTGGAGGGATTGCTTGAGCCCAGCAGTTTGAGGCTGCAGTGGGCTATGATTGCACCACTGCACTCCAGCCTGAGTGACAGAGAGACCCTGCCTCTAAAAAAAAAAAAAAAAAAAAAGTGCATTACGTAATTCATTAATGTCCAGAGCCTCTTCTCAGCTCCAGGTGTTCTTCTTCCCATTGACATTACAGCTTCTGCTTGTCCCTTTTGGGACTATTATTTCCTTCCCTTGCCCCCTTTAACCAGTCTCCTGGGTCTCTCTGAGTTGCTGCTGAGATTAGCTTCAGCCACAGCCTGGGCAGAAAGATCTCTTACAACCATTGGCACCAAGAGGCTCTTCCCTCTGCCCTAGGAGGCGTGTATTCACTTCTTTTTTTTTCTTTTCTTTTCTTTTCTTTTGGTGGGGGGGCAAACTATTCACTCACTGTCCTCTATTGATGCAAAAACCATTCTAGCCGTTTTTGTTTGTTTGATTTTGAGACAGAGTTTCCCTCTTGTTGCCCAGGCTGGAAGTGCAGTGGCGCCATCTCCACTCACCACAACCTCTTCTTCCCAGGTTCAAGCAATTCTCCTGCCTCAGCCTCCCAAGTAGCTGGGATTACAGGCACGAGCCACCACGCCCGGCTAATTTTGTATTTTTGGTAGAGACGGGGTTTCTCCATGTTAGTCAGGCTGGTCTCGAACTCCTGACCTCAGGCGATCCACCCACCTTGGCTTCCCAAAGTGCTAGGATTACAGGCGTGAGCCTCCGCACCTGGCTGTATTCACTTCTAATAGGTTCATTTATGCATTCAAGAAATGTTTGTTTAGTACTTTCTTCAAAGGTTTTTTCTTTTTTTTTTTTGAGATGGAGTCTTGCTCTTGTTGCCCAGGCTGGAGTGCAATGGCGCCATCTCCACTCACCACAACCTCCTCTTCCTGGGTTCAAGCAATCCTCCTGCCTCAGCCTCCCAAGTAGCTGGGATTATAGGCATGAGCCACCATGCCCGGCTAATTTTGTATTTTTAGTAGAGACGGGGTTTCTCCATGTTAGTCAGGCTGGTCTTGAACTCCCGACCTCAGGCGATCCACCCGCCTCGGCTTCCCAAAGTGCTGGGATTACAGGCGTAAGCCTCTGCACCCGTCTGTATTCACTTCTAATAGGTTCATTTATGCATTCAAGAAATGTTTATTTAGTACTTTCTTCAAAGGTTTTTTTTTTTTTTTTTTTTTTTTTTT